CGGGGCTGTCCACGGGGTTCTGCCGCGTGAAGCGGGTGTTGAACTGGCTGACGTCGTCATCGGATTGCTGCAGGGCAGGAGGGAGGGGACTGAGGGGGTCGGCACAGAATCTTGCCTAAAGGATCTAGCTTCCATCCAGGCTGACCTCCCACAAGGGGGCGGGAGCTATGGGGCCCATGGAGGCTGAGCATATTGCACCCGTCCCGGACGCCCGGGTCCATCGCCATCTCAGTCTCCCCTCCCCTGTGCAGTGCCCTACGGGGGTGGGGGCGCACTGGGAGCTGCGAGGGCACCTGTGGGCGAGTGCTCCCCCACACAGCAATGGATAGCAGGGCAGGCCTGTTGCGGGATAGCTGGGCCGGGCAAGCAGGGAGCGATGGGCTGGCTCTCTCCTGCCATGGGGGGAGGGAGAGGGGAGGGACGACTGGATGCGGGAGCAGGGCAGTACCAGGCAGGGCCTGAAGGGCGGGTCCAGCTTGCGCGCCAGCAGCTCGTCCCAGTTGACATGGCGGAAAAACGGCTGCTTCTGCAGGGACAGACACACAGGCAGGAGGTCAGAAGGCAGCAGCTGCTCCCTGTGCCCCGCAGGGGCACCCAACCAACGCAGGCTTGTGCCCTGCCCAGGCTCCCCATGCAGGCGCCCTGGGGGGGTAGGGAGCCCTGGGCCTAGGAAGGCCATGACAAGGCTGGGCACCAGCCTCTGCCCACATGGAGAAGAGGCTCCGCCCCATGCCCTGGGCCATGGCACATGGAAGGAAGCTGCCTCCTGCCACTGACTCCATGGTGCCCATGGGTACAGCTAGGGGAGAGAACCCTCCTTTCAGGGTGCTACATCCTGCCCCTCCTCCACCCTCCCTTGTGCGCACCCCACCCCACATACCTACCTGCACGTCGGCCGCGTCGCCTGCCCCGCCCCCAATCCTCTGGTTGGGGTTTCTTTTGAGGAACTGAAGAGAGAATGGAGTTAGGGGGGCCCTTGGAAAGCACAGCCTGGTGGACATGGGGTAGGGGGGGCTGCTCGCATACCCTCCCCCCCGATTCCACAGCAAGAGGCAGCCATTTTGGTGAGACCCACACAAAAGCCCCAATCCAGGATCACACCCTGCTGGCTCCAAGGCTGACAGGTCAGCAGCTTTGAGGAGCGGAAGTGAAGGAGATGGGAACAGTGTCAGACAGGGGCAGATGCGGGTAACCTACCGTGGGGAGCGGCACCTCCTCGCACAGGTCAGGAGCGTGGGGTGGTATCTGAGCTGGGAGGGGGTGTAAGCGGTACCTTCTTGAGCAGGTCACGGGCGTCGGGGGTCAGGTAAGGAGGCAGCACCAGCTTCCCCTTGAGGATCTTGTCGATGGTTTTCTTCCGGTTCTCGGCCGTGAAGGGCGGCTGCAAAGGAAGCGCAGAGGGGGCTGAGCGCAGGGCCGGGGGGAGGGGTGAGCATCAGCAAAGGGGGCTCCAGAGATAAGTGGGAGCTCAGCGTGGGGGAGGGGAGCTGAGCAGAGCAAGGGTCTATGCTGAGGCAGAGTGAGGCACTGCATTGGAGTCGGGGAGGGGGGAAGGTGCCACTTGGTGCAAAGACTCATGGGACAAAGCAACAGCCAGGCCCTAGGGAAAAGGGAAACTTGGCCTGCAACTCTGGTCTTCCCACCCCCATGTTAACAGCACGAGCAGGACTTGCCGATCCAGTGAGCATGTCGTACATCAAGGCCCCGAGGCTCCACCAGTCCACGGCCCGGTTGTGACCACTCCGCATCAGGATCTCTGGAGCCCTAGGGACAGCACAGACACCCATAGCTGCTGGGCCAGCCACTTACTATGACCGGGCTCCCCAGGGGAGCAGTGAGGGAAGGGGGGGCAGGGCCCCCCAGGAGAAGCAGTATGTGTGTGTGGGGAAAGGTATCTCCAGGGCACCTACATGTATTCAATGGTCCCACAGAAGGTGTGGGTGACAGCTCCCTCGTGGATCGATTCCTTGCACAGTCCAAAGTCGGTCAGCTTGATGTGCCCTGAGAGAAAGGAGACTCCATGGGTCAGACTCCCCCAGCCAGGCGTCAGGGGCCCGAAGCGCCCAGCCCCCTCCCCGTCGGCCGTGGGCTCTGTACCTTGGCTGTTCAACATAATGTTCTCCGGCTTGAGGTCCCGGTATATGATACCATTGCAGTGCAGATGGCCCAGGGCCAGCGTGATCTCACTCAGGTAGAAGCTATGGCACAAGCAGGAAAGAGGCCGTCAGTAGCACCCCGACACCCGCAGCCCCAGTCCCCAGCTCATGGGGGCGCTGCTGAGAGTTCCCAGGCGCAAGTGCTGGTCCCCAATGTGCCCGCAGGAGCACCCGCCCACAGGCCAGGACAAGCTGGTGGAAGGACTGGGCACTGCCCCCGGAAGCCTGTTAGGCCCTGGGAACTGCTGTGCACCTTCCCCTGGCATAAGAACCCCTTCACACACCCGTATGGCCCTGCCCCCAAGCTGGCTCGGCCCCTCTGCCTTCCTGCACCATCCCTCCTGCTCGTCCCAGTTCCTCCCACTCTGTACTGGCCCGCAGCTGGCACCTCTGCTCCCCCAGGCCCATCACTACCCTCCCTTTGCTCTGCGCTCCCTCCAGCTCCCATCCACCTGCCTCCCTTGATGGGACCCCCATGCTCCTCCCAGCCCCTAACTGTCCCCCCCAGAGGAGACAGGCTGCCCTGTGAACCCGTGGCAATGTGTAGCTAAGGACTGCGCTACTGACCATGGGGCCAGCGGATCCTGGTGAGTCCCGGGCTGCCTGTGGCAGTGCACACAACACGGGACACTGAGCCATGCCAGTTCCCACGTATTCCGACCAGCCTCTGCTCCCTGCTGCACACCAGCCCTGCCTCCCTCGGATGCCAGCAGGTTGGCTCTGCCCTGGTTCTCCAGCGAAGGAGGCCCCCGCTGGCTTTCAACACGGCTCGGCACTGGGCACCCGCTCAGCATTCCCTCTCAAGGGCCCCAGCCCCGGGTGTGTTTGCATAAGGAGAGCGGCTCCTTTCCCCACAGACTTTGACCAACACTGCGAGGGTGGGAGGGGCACCGGGCTGGAGAGCGGAAGGCTACAAAAACAATCACAACGCAGCAGGAAGGTGGCTCCCGGCTACACCAGACACTGACCAGGCCGTGTCCTCCAGGAAAATGCCCTCACGCTCCAGCTGCATGAAGAGCTCTCCACCTGCGGAGCCAAAACAGAGGTCCCTGAGTGCCACCCCCACACAGGTCCTGCATCCTGCCCCACATACCCCCCACCCAGAGGGGTCAGGAGAGTAGGGGCAGATTGCAGGCCGATGACACGACAACAGTCTGAGAGAATATCGTGCTCACAGGGTCCCTCACATGCAGCCTGGTCCCCCCCCAGGCCCTTAACAGGGTCGATCCCCACCCCACCAAGCCAGCCCTGGTCCGTACCACTCAAGCACTCCAGGATGAGGTAGAGCTTGCCACCTGTCTGGAAGGCGTAGATCAGGTCCACGATGAAGGGGTGTTTGATGGCCTCCAGGATGTTCCTCTCAGCCTTGGTGTGAGCTGTGTCCTTGGCGTTGCAGGCGATCTTGGCCTGGAGGGTGGGGAGGGAGAGAGAGGGGGGAGTAGGTTGCCAGCAGGGGGTGCCTCTGAGCTCAGCACCAGGACGGCCTGGCCAACTTGTTACCTTCTTCAGGACTTTCATGGCAAAGATATTCCCGGCGTTGGTTCCCTGCACCTTCCGCACCTGGAACACCTGTGAGGCAAGAGAGGGTCCATTAGGGCAGGTGGCTGTACAGCTGCACCCCCAGAGCAGTGCCAATAGCAGGAAGGCAACTTTGTCCAGCAACTCAGGGGACCATCTGGGAGGAGATGCCCCAATAGAAACAACAGGATGCAGAAATGCAGCCAGGAGGTCTCACATGAGGTAGTCCCTCTATAAACCAAGCACCCCAACCAGACTCCATTTCCCAGGATGTACTATGGCCATGCAAGAGTCACATTACATCACCCCTCCTCTGCAAGACCTGAGTTAATGGTGCATCCTGGGAGAGGTAGACCAGCTAAGGAGCAAGGTCCATGAAGAAAAGGGCCAAGAGGTGTCGGAACCACTCCTCCCAAGTGGAACCATGATGACATTCAAGAACTGAAATTTCTCTCCATCGGACAAGATGCCCCCAACACAGCCCTAGAACATGCTCTGGCAAAGATCCCAGCACCCCTCTCCTCCTGCCACCCTCTACATTCTCCTCCATAAAGGTTTCTGGCCAGCGAGGGTCCAGGAGAGAAACAGGGGTGAGTCAGTCCCACAGTGGCATCCCCTAGTAGAGGTGGGTAATATTGACATGTGCATAGGGAGGCGCACACCCTTGCCCCCTAGCTGGCCCCATCAGTCCCATGCCCCGGCCCTTCCCTACCTTGCCGTAGCCACCCTTGCCCAGGACACGCAGCAGCTCGAAACAGTGGGGCCCGATACGCTCAGGACCGTTATTGACGCTGCTCTCTGAGATCTCGATCTCTTCGTAGTGCCCCACTGGCCTAAAAGAACAGGGAGCACACGCTGGAGACACCGCAAGGAAGGGGGAGGAAGAGCCACCCAGGGACTTGGCATACTGGGCCAGTAAACACCTGGGGCAAAGCCCCAGGGAATAAGCTAGGCTCTGGCCCCTGGGTGCCTGCTTCCTCCACCCCAGGGAGGCTGTTTTGACACATCAGTTCCCCAAAGAAAGAACGACATTTGTCCAAAGCCCCTGCACCCACCCAGCCTCTTCCCTGCACTACTTACTCCAGGCCACTCCCCCGCAGCTCCAAATCCATCTCCTAGGGCAGAGGAAGGGAAATCAGACCAGCGCACACTTGAGGGGCACAAGGGCTTGGGGCAGACTGCGAAGGGACACACCTGAACTAGAATCAGGCACTCGGAGTGGAAGGGGACCCCAGGGCTAGGAACAGGCAGCCAGGGGTTAGGCATGGGGCAGAGGGGCGTACCAGGCTGCCCGAGCGGGCCAAGGAGTTGGTGGCACCAGGTTTGGGGCCTGGCTGCCGGGAGGTGCCAGGGTCAGGCTGCCGCACAGCTGGGGGAGATGACAGGTGACAGCACCCCGGGGACAGGGCGAGGTGCTGGCTTGGCTAGGGGGTTAGTCACAGGTGAGTCGGCGGCTCCGGGAGCGGGGTGCAGC